GGGAAAAAGGAGCGGTAAGAAGGGCTCAGATGTTATAAATGCCACTTGACCGTGGGAAAAGGTTAAAACAGGATCTGTGCCATATTGAGCACTGAAGTATTTGCAATGGAGAGGAATCTCTAATGAAAAATTGAAAACTCTAATGAAAAATTGATTCTTGGGCAGAGATTTTGACTGAAGCTTTTGTCTCTGTTAGGGTTTTTACAAAGGTATCTGTCTTACGCATTCTCTGATATCTCATAAGGTCTGAGCTCCTACTGTAACCTGCACTCCCAGATTAGTTATAGGAAAACAATAATCTTGAGATCTTTAATGCCTCTTGAAACCTGCTATAATGGATCCATGGTCCTTAAGTAATTTGGAGAGAGTAAGAGCATGATCATACAAGATATCTCTCCTTAGGAAATTACACTGACAGGCAGGGAGGTGTCAGTGGGTAATATTTCTAATGTAACTTACATTCACTGGTGGACTCCACAAAGCCCAAAACTACCTGCTTTCCATAGTTTTTTGCAGTTTGCTCTCTTGGCCAGAGCACTTGAAAGTAGAGCAGTTGTAGATGCCTTAGAATTTGTGGTTCCTTGATAGATTTTCTCCAGAAATCTTCACTGTCTCCCACAACTCCTTTTCACTCTTGGCTGCACCAATTCAGCAGCCTCTCAAATATGACAGAGTGATTTATTTAATTTTTGTGCTTTTTTGGGTTTCTCCACCCTAACATGCACACTGCTTTACTGATCTGATTTTGAGCCTGGTCCTTCAAACAATTGCTTTTGCAAGAGTGGGAAGTATTGGCAAGTTGTACTGGGGGTGACAGCAAGACCCTGAATATGGGGAAAGAAGCAGGAGCCATTTCAAGAGATTTTTCTGCCATATAAATTAAAACATGGAGCCCCAGGATCTCTTGTTAGAGTGACGCTACTCTGCCACAGCAATTGATTATTCATGAAATCAGTAAAAGTGACTGTAGGTTGGTGGTTTCACTACTTCTGTGAGAAATGGGACATCCCTGTTCTTTTCCCAGCCTTAGGGAACAGTTCATTTATGAATAATATATATACTTAATATCTCTTCATTTAGTGAATGCTCTTTAAGCTTCACAGCAAATTAGGACCTTTATTTCCAATTTTTCTTTTAGTACAAATGGTCAAAACAAATTATTATTTTGGATGCCTCAAACCTAGGTCATCTCAGAGCGATTTTTTTAAAAATTCAGATTTGAGATGAAAATACATGTTGATAAAGTTCTACAGTAGAGGGGACTAGTTGAGCATATATTCCCAAAAATATGCCATTTCGGCATTCACAAATGTGCATGTTCTGCCTTTGCTCAGGAAGGGGTTATCTGACCCTTTCCTGCAGCCTGCTCAGTCAAGTCAACTATGCATAAATAAGAAGGAAACTTATGCACGAAGAAACTGAAATTAGATGAATAATTAACATATACTTTATGCAAAAGCATGAAAAACTGTTCCAAAATTTCTCTGCTTAACTAAAGTGTGAATTCATATTAAAATATTCTACACTGAAACTTTGTCAGCAGGTCATAAAAGCACATATCTGCTTATTTAATAGGTCTAAGATTTATCTGATGTGTTTCATTTCCTGGTGAATGATACATTTTTTTTACTCTTAGTCATTTTAAGAGTGTTATTTAATTTAAGTGTGTGTTATTTCATTTAAGTGTATTCACTCTCTGTGAAAAAATAGTAATGGCCAAATCCCAGAAGTTGCAAATGGGTACATCTTTGCAGCATCAGCAATCAGTACTTTGAAGAGGCTTCCTAAATTTAGAACAAAAGCAAATAAAAGAAAGTTACGAGATTTTGCGTCATTATCTTTCTATAAGATTTTCTCAGTCTCATCAAAAGATGAAATAGAAGAAGAACTGATCTTTGAAGAAGAACCAGTCTGATTGCAAAATTGTAATTTCGCTGTTTCAGGCCATGACTCCTGTAGCTCTCTGTGGTCATGCAGGAAAAAACAGTATATACTTGACACAGTAACAGTGTAATCTCTTTTTTTTTTGTTTTTTTTTAATGGAAACAGCTGGGTTATAAGTATGTATAATGCTTTATAGATACCTAAAATACAAAAAGGCATAGTTTCCAAATCCCTGTATTTTTATCTTTCAAATACTGATCAGGCACATTTTGACATAGAAATTATTAATACGATGATAGATAGCCCCAGATCTATAATTCACTCATGGGGCTTCGGTCATTTCATGGAAGGCAAAAGTATAGTGCATTACTCTGCATGCATAATGTGGAGCTTATTTATATTTAATGCTAACATTATTTTTCAATGAGGAGACTATTCATGAGGTATGCTTCCTGTTCAGAATATTGTTTATGTTGTAGAGATTTTCATTTTGAGGTGAAAAAATGCTTGTTTCCCAAGAAAACATTGGCCACTTTGAAGGATCTTCATTTCCTTCTCCTCCATCTTTCCCTTCCTCTCCTTCCTTTCCTTTTTCCTTTTTAATAAATAATTTGTTCATTGGGAATATGTATTATTATAATATGTATAATATTGCACATTGGTAATAGGTCATGTATAAGTTTTTTCCTGGACAAACTTCTCTAGCAATGCTAACCAATATAATTTGGCCTTGATAGCAAGGTTGCGATCACAGCAAAAAATAAAATACTACTTTTGCAGTCCAATGAATACCTACATTAATTTTAATGCTAAAAATTTCAACCCATAGCAGCATTAGAATCTCATTAGTCTGCACTAATAGGTGGAAACCTTATGTTTATGCTGGCTTTAGGTCACTTCATGAGGTCACATCAGGTATGTCAGAGGAGGAGTGAGTCACTATATATAGGATGAAAACGCAGAGGAGTACTCAGTGTATTGTGAGGATTTTTATCTAAAATATTTTTATAAAGCTCACAGAGGACATACTCTGTAAATCTGGGTATTGAGGTAAGGCTGTGCACTTCAATCAGCTTTTCAAAAAAATGCCTCTAAAGTTCTGTGCTAACCCTTGTCTGGATTATACTCTGCATCAGGAAGTCTGTTATCCCTTAAAATATCTCCTCTCATTCTTTGGTGTTGCTGCCAGTATACTAGCACGAGTAGTTAGTTTTTTAGTGGGAAAACACTTTCTTGCTGCTCCTCCTGACCCAGTGTTGTAGAAGAGCATCTCCTGCAGGTCTCACACAGGCCCTGGTCCCCAGAGCCCAGATGGGTGCTGCCTCTGTGCTGCAGGGAGGAGGTTTAACCTCAACATTGCCACAGGCACCACAAAAGGAGGAATTTTCTAGATGGCTCAAGCAGGACTGGCATTCCTGCAGCAAGCTGTCACCTTTCATCTTGTCAAGGGAGCAGTCACCTCCTCCTTGCTCCTCTCAGAAAATAAAGCCCCTGCAAGGCACGGGAGAGGATGGCTGCACGCTCCAAGCTCTTGCTGTGCCAAGGCAGTGCTTCAGCATTCTTGCTTTCCCCTGTGAGTCTGCTGGTGCACAGAACTTGGGGTTCAGTTTTAATCATCAAAAAAAAAAAAAAAACTAAGTGCCCTTGGACTGATTATGGGTGCTCAGCATAGTGGTGCCACCGACAGTAGTACTGTCCCAGGGGCTCCGTGGAGATGGAGGAGGGAGCAGCCACAGCTGATTTTATAGGGTGTTTGTAGCTTTTTTGAGGCCCTAAACCTGTCATTTGCTGTCATGTCTACATGATGTGATCAGCTTCCCCAAAGTCCGCTTGGCAGCCAGAAGAGAATGATGTAGGAGCTCTGAAGGCCAGGAACAAGTCACAGTCATGTCTGATGAGTCCAGTGACTGTGAAGAGCAGAACTGAATCTCTAACAGTGGCCAAATCACTCTGTGCTCCAGCAAACCTGCAAGTGTAGTTTCAGAATGCCTCTTTTCTGTGTAAATATGTTTCCTTCCTTTCCCTTTTTCAAAGGGAAGAAGTTGTTTGCAAACTATTCGTGGAATATAAACAGCTCATACAAGGGAAATGCCCTTGAAGCAGTGAGAGTGGATTGACTGCAGCATACAGTACATGCTAATAGCATCTTCAGAGAATTACTATTACTTCATAGGAGAGGCGTTTTCATTATAATAAAAATCTTACCACGATCCTGAGATTGAATTTTTACCTTCTCCTGCATATATCTGGTGAGTCAACAGTCACAGGTTGCTGGTTCATTGTTGAAAAGCTCCCAAGAATTACTCACCACTAAGTAAGGCCATTTCCCATGACTGCTTCTTTGCAACTCTTGTGAAGCATCAGGCAATGTAGCAGGCTCATGACCAGCACAGAAAGCTTGAATCTGACAGTATTCCTAGAGCTCTGAACAGAGTCAATAAAATGAACCTGCTAATACATGGTTATATCTATTGCAGCTTACTCGCATTGGGTATTAATCAAGCAGTCATAGTAAGTTCACAAACTGACACTTGAGACTGAATGATGATCTTTCAGGTTGCCTGATACCTTTATCTGACCGAATTCATGCAGACTCAGCCATGTGCAGAGGAGAGCTCGGCACGGCTGCACTTTATCTACCTTTTTATTTCTGGTGCAATAGGATAGGAATGAAGAGAAAAGAATATATAAGGGTTCCCCACTGAGAATCAATTCTATAAATTATGTATTATGCAGACACTATTCTGCTGATGCTATCCAATCCCCAATTCTCAGTTCCTTGTTTTTCCTTCTATAAATAGCTATGGCCAGGTTTTCAGTTGTGAAATGATGAGGACAAAACTACAAACCTTTTCCATTTAATAACCTCTGCCAAACGAAGAATAAGGTAATATTTTTTGTAACAGTGATGTCCTCAGGGTTTTAACAGTCTGGGAATACAAGCAGCACTGTGTTGTTGATAAGTTACTGGGGGCAAAAGTGGGAATAACCATTTTGAATATTAAAGAAGGAAATGCCCTATTTTCAGGATGATCAGTATAAAGCTTGGTATTCTGAATTTTCCTGTCATATTTTGTCTGTGTAGGACCACTCTTGCTTTTTGTTTCTCCCTCTAGATCCAAATGCTTTGGCTGGACAGACCGGACCTGACCACGCTCTTATAGGAGGAATAGTGGCTGTAGTTGTGTTTGTCACACTATGTTCTATAATTCTCCTTGGTCGATACCTGGCAAGACATAAAGGTAGGACAGATTTAGCAGAAGTTCCATCACTTTTGGAAGCAGGGCCTGAATTCACCTGGGGGTGCCATTCCCTTTTGCCTTCCCCCATCTGCTAAAGGCTTTGAGTAAAAGAGTTTAGTTCACAGTCCAGTTGCAAATGAAGCCCCTGTGAGTGTTGACCAGTTTTCCAGTGGACTGGCTAAGGCAAAGGACGTGTCATCTTATAAGTCAGTTATTTAGAGAGACTAAGAGGTAAGATTGCCTCTTGGTTTTGGCCCTTAACCTAGACACTTTAACTACATGATCTCATAGTTTTAACTAGTATATCAATTCAGCAGAATATATATATACATATATGTGTGTATATATATATATCTCAAGTGAACAAGATTTTTCATTTTAATAAATTATGCTGATATTTTAAGTGTGTATTCAAAAGATAATATTAGAAACCAGTGGTAAATTTTCAGATCAGTTTACCAAGGATCCCTCTGGAATAAGGGATTAATTCCTGGGGCAAGCTTTACTTTGTTCAGTGATTTCACTTTAATAATTCTGCTCTTTTCATTTTCAGTCCCCTCTGCCCTTAGAGATAACAGGGATGGAGTGACACTGATTTCTGACTTCTCTATGATTTGATTTTAACCTAGCTAATTCCAAAATAATTTCTTGAGATTTAACCTCTGCATGTTTTGTAGACCTGTTGTTAACACTTAGTTGATTCCATGCCACTCCCCTCAAAAAAATTTTAAAAAGGAATGAAGAGAGGATGAGTGTTGGTATTAATTCATTAATTCTCAAGTTAGATAATCATATGCCTAGCAAACATAAGCTCATAAAGACATCTTTTTAATTTCATTGGACTGTGTGAGGAAAAACCAAGATTATTTTTTTAATGAGCTGATGAAAATGTGTCTCTTCTGTTTTATTTTTCTGAATGAACAGTTATACTTCTTATGCCAACATAAATAATGCTTCTCACAAAGTGAAAGTTGACTCTTGTACACAATTCTTTTTATTCATATCCATTGCATAAAGATAACTGTGATAGTATAGTGTGACTTGGTTCAGTTAATAAAACTGCCTCAATTTTGTAATTCTTGCAAAATACTATGATACAATTCTGTAAAATTAAAGCATAGATACGATCAAGAAAGAAGTACAAATAATCAATGGCCATTAAAATAAAATGAAAACCAAAATACATTTATGAATATCTAAGTCTTCAAAGTTAGTTTGGTTTTGATAGTTAATTACTCTATGAAACAACCAAGATTTTATCACTTATTCTAGAATTGCAAAATATATTGCATATTACTGCAGTTAGATAAAGTGGATTTTTATTAAAATATTTCCTTAATTTATTGTGAATATAATATAGTTTGTGTATGTGGATTAGCAGTATAAAAAGTGTAAATATTTCTTAGGCAAATGAGAAAGTTGATCATACCTTTACGGTGCATACTAAGACTGTGTAAAAATATTTGTCCATTCATTAAATAATCAGAGCATTTTTAGAAATGTGCTTCCTATAATGCAGTGTAAAGCTAAAAAAAAAACCCCTAATCTTTCTTTTTTTTTTTCTTTTTCTTTTCTGTTGTACTGATTCCTATAGGAACATATTTAACAAATGAAGCAAAAGGAGCTGAAGATGCACCTGATGCCGACACAGCCATTATCAATGCAGAAGGCAGCCAAGTCAATGCAGAGGAGAAAAAGGAGTATTTCATTTAGATGCAGAGCTAGAATCTTGGAGTTTTACTTATCAGGCTGACTGCTGGAGGAAACTGGCTATCATTTCTCAGAATTCATTTCTGCCATCTTATGCTATCTTTATTAACTTGCATACCTTCTATAAGTAGCCAGTTTATGCCAACAATCAGCTGTTGACATCATCATTCTATAATTACAGTATCATGCGTAAAACAGGACATTTCTTATTGCCTAAAAATCATATCCACTGCTCTCTTAACATACAGTGCTTGAATATACAGCCTTAACAATGTTAATCATCATCTTAATCCAAGTTTTCTACATTTTTAAATGTTATGCAGCTTTCTTTTTCAGTTTTCTTTTATCATGTCCCTACTAGTATGTCATAGAACAAAATTCATAACGAATACTATTAGGTAAGGTCCTAATTTACTCACAGAAAATGTTAAGTCTAAGATTAGAGGTTTACAAAGAATGTTTTATATGTGTCTATCTATAATTCAGACAGCAACTTGTTTTTGAAACATCTGCCCTTGGAAACACAATTTGAAATCTGTTTAGTATAGTTTCCTTTATGTTCGGGTTTGGTGGAAAAAAAAGATCATCCCAGTGAATTTTTTGTTTTGTTTTGTTTTGCTTTGCTTTGTTATGATTGAAGTGGTACCTTGATAACAATGCCATGTTTCAGTGGTGAAAACATGCTGAATAGCTATACATATTCTGCAAAGTTAGATAATAGTGCTTTATTTGAAACAGTTTGTCCTACCCTTTTACTGGCTTTTGGAATCACAAAGATTAGAGAACTTTCTAAGTAATTTATGTTTTTATAATTTATTTGCTAAACATGAACTCACCTGCCTACTCAAATTTGAAGTGTTCATGGGACACAACTGCAAGGCATTTTAGTATCTGTATATAGTGCATATAATAAATTCAATTAAACATTATTTGATACATATTCAACTTTTTTTGGCAGTAGCTAAGTCAGTCACAAGCAAGCATTTTCTAATGTCCATTATATCCCTTTAGATATGACTCAAATCAATATTCTGAGTAGGAGTATTTTTGTCTGTATGTCCTAGCACTGTTCAGCAGCAAACTTTTCTAGTTCTTGTTAATTTTTTCTTTGTTATACAATGGAAGCACAATGTTATATGGGAAGGTAGTTTTAAGCTAACAACCAGTGCACAGCCTCAGGTTTTAAATTACAACCACATTTGATTACTATCCTTAAAAAATACTATTGAGTTGCTAAAATTCTCAGTTTTTAATTTGGCAGTTCCAGAGCTGCTTCTCTATGTTGGTTTGCCAAAAAAAAAAAAAAAAAAAAAAAAAAAAAAAAAAAAAAAAAAAAAAAAAA